GGTTAAACCACTACCCCAATGAAATGATGCGTCTCTGCTTCATGGCCAGTTTATGACCTACTTTTAAACAACTACACACGGCCTGAAACTGACAAATGACAGCTCAAGTTATGATGAATCTAAGTTGGTCAATTCACAGCAAAGTTCTGAAGAAGTTTGATGTGATGAAATACTAAACAGTTACAACAATACCGTTGAGAGGTTTTCATTTTGTTAAGGAGAAAAGGAAATATGGGAAATATGTTGTTCTCTTGTTCAAGAAAGAAACCGTGTCTTCATTGTCAAAAACAAATTATGATTTACTTTTGCAGGAATATCTTCTTTTTTTAACAACTGCTTTGACCACTATTTCACAACAACGCCACGACTTCTATGAAGAAAATGTTTACTATAATATACAGGAAAATAATAACTTTACTTAAAATATCTTTGGTCTTACCTCTGTAGATGTTCCCCTCCTGTCAGGGAGCACCAGTGTGTTGGCATGGCTGCCCGGGACTATAGTAGATCCTATACTCATTCTGGGTCCAACTAACATGTAGCGCTTGTCTCCAGATCTGTACTGGATGCTGTGACACAGTGTCCCATCATAGTTAGTCTCTTGTAGATATTTAGAAGTATAGTCTGTGGATTTAGAGCACTGCATTGCAATCAGCACGATGATGCTGATGAGAAAAAGTGTTGAGACTGAGCCCAAAGTTATCATCAGGTAAAAAGTCACATTATTATCCTCATCATCCTTTGTTGCACTTTTAACATCAGCAGCAGCAAAAGCCTCTCTGGGCTCCACAAGTTTAACAACCACAGTAGCTGTTGCTGACAGGGAAACGTTGCCATTGTCTTTCACCAGGATGAGCAGTTTATGCTCAGCCTCGTCTGTCTCTGTGAATGAGCGAAGTGTTCTGATCCGTCCTGTATAGCGGTCCAAACCAAAGAGACTGTGGGCAGTAACTTCCTGCAGTGAGAACAGTAACCAGCCGTTATATCCTATATCAGCGTCATAGGCTCTGACTTTAGTCACCAAGTGTCCTGCGTTCACATTGCGGGGAATCTCCTCCACACCTTCAGCAGAACCGTTAGAGCTGACCGGATACAGGATGACTGGAGCGTTGTCGTTCTGATCCAGAATGAACACGTGCACTGTGACGTTGCTGCTTAGTGATGGAGTTCCAGAATCTGTGGCGACAACTTGGAACTGGAACGTTTTCAGAGTCTCAAAGTCAAAGCTTTTTAGTGCCAAAATATCTCCAGTTTCAGAGTTGATATTTAAAAATGAGGTCACTTTTTTGTGTTCATTCCCATATCTAACTATGTTATATGATATGACAGCATTATCACCCTCATCACAATCATGAGCACTCACTGAAAATAAAGAGGCTCCTGCAACATTGTTCTCAATAACATAAAATAGATATGGATTTGTTGAAAACTGTGGACTGTTATCATTAACATCTGATACAGTCACACTTATTGACCTATGAGATGACAAAGGTGGTTCACCGGCATCTTTAGCAATTATTGTTACATCATACTTGGACTGATGCTCTCTATCAAGCATAGATTTGGTGACTATAGAAAACATATTCTCTTGTAAAGATGGTGTTAATGTAAAAGGTACATCCTCACTTATATAGCAGATAACCTTTCCATTTAAACCAGAATCATTATCAGTCACACTTATCAAAGCTACTGTCGTTCCAGGTTTGGAGTCTTCAGGAATTGCATTTGAAAAGGATGTCACCTCAATCTCAGGTGCGTTGTCATTCAAGTCCACAATAGTTATTATAACACTTTTTTCTGTTTCTAGGGAGACTGGTCCTTTATCTGAAGCTTTAATATCAATTTCATACCTGTCTTTTGCTTCATAATCTATCTGTCCTTTAACAATTATTTCACCAGTGTTAGCATCAACATCAAAAAGTTTACGTAATTTATTATTCACATTTTTTCCAAACGAATAAACCACCTCTCCATTTAAACCATCATCTAAATCGGTGGCATTCACTTGCATGATAGTTGTGCCAATAGGTGCATTTTCACTTAGCACGGCTTCATATGAGTCTTTGGCAAAAACTGGCATATTGTCATTTACATCTAAAACATGAACAATAATTCTCATATTTCCTGATTTAGCGGGCTTTCCTCCATCAACTGCTGTCAGCATTAATCTATGACTTCTTGCAGTTTCTTTATCTAATGATTTGTGCAAATAGAGAACAGGAATTTTCCCATCTTCTCCTCTATCTTTAACCTCCAAGCGAAAATGGTCATTTTGACTGAGCTTATATTGTTGGATAGAAAACATGTCGCTGTCTGGATCTTGCGCGCCTTGTAGTTGAAACCGTGCACCGGGTAAAGCAGATTCTGATATCTCTAATTGCGTCTCGTTTTCAGAAAAGATGGGAGAGTGGTCATTTACATCCAAAACCTCAATGGCGACGTAATGCACCTCTAACGGATTCTCCAACACAGTCTTTATGTTGATAACGCAGGTGCTGATCCGCTCGCACACTTCTTCTCTATCAATTTTCCGGTTTACGTGTAAGATGCCATTGTTGTTCAGTTGAAACAGGGGGTCGGTCGATCCAGAAACGATGCGAAATCCTCTTGCATTCAAAGCACTGATATCCAGCCCCAAATCTTTAGCGATATTCCCAACAACAGCACCCACTGTAAGCTCTTCGGAAACGGAGTATCGTAGCTGAGCTGAACTAAAATGAATGAAAGTAAGAATCAAACAAACAAAGAGCTTGATCAGGCGCTCAAACCATGCTCTGCGTCCACTTCCTGCCATATTGCATTAAAACAAAACGTAGCTTAGAAAGAAAAAGTGAGTCTACACAGTAGCGGACATTTTGAACAAAAATAACAAATAGGCCTACTCCAATTTTCGAAAAAGGATCGTGAACGAGTCAAATATTTGAAGCCATCGCCCGAAAGCTCGAGTGCACCCTGTCGCGAAATACCACTAAACTACTGACGTAGAGTAACCTACGTTCAACCGACAGTCGTTCATTTGCACAAGCAGTGACACCATGCGAGCTGGCGTTTCAATGCAGATCATTTCAATTTAAAGAAACAACATTTTATGATACATTGTGTAGAAATCTTATTTTTATGTAACGGTCGCATGGTTAAACATTCCCGTAGCCTACTGAGCTGAGGTGGAAGAAGTACTTAGATTTCACTTAAGTAAAAGTAATTCAATATACTTTGTAGGCTAAAAGTCCTGCAACAAGTGAAACTACTCATTACGTTATTATATAATATTATAATTAATGATGCTATGTGCATTACTTTAATGTCGATACTGGTAAAGGTGGCGCTCTTTTGAATAATTTAACATGGCTGGGTAGTTATAATACATTATAATAAACATTTGGATAGTTTTTTTTCTAAATTAATAATCAAACCAAGTAATTAAAGCTATCAAATAAATGTACTGTTTTAAAAAGCTACATAACTGTAGTGGAGTACAGAGTATAAAGTAAATAATGTAAATACCTCAGAATTGTACTCCAGTTACTTTCCACCACTGCTGTTCAGATGCAATACAACAAGTGAACTCCATAACATTTCAGGATTAGTGGATTTATAATTGTTAGTGTAATATATTTGAAATATATGAATACATTACAATATGCGTTATTTCTTCGATCAATCCACAATAAGCCTCCACTTCAAAAAGTTATTCTTTTTAAGAATCTAGACCACTGAATCCTTATCGATGACATTTCAAAGAGGCACTTCTGATATTTCTCAATAGATTACTTAAAAGTAAAAATAAACTGCATAAACACATAATCCAACTACTCAGCAACAAGGAGTCAGCATTATGTTTATGCAAAAACAAAAATAACATGATGTGGGCTAAACAAGATGTTGAAGCTGCCAGTGCATTCATGCTTTCTTAAGTGTTACTTTATGGCTCCTGCATTAATTGACAACATGAAGGCGAGTACACTTTGTGATGCAAGTCACATTTTAAATGACACAAAATAGGATTAAAATGCTATTATGTTACAACTGCTACACTTTATCAGCAGGCACACTTGATATGTAAGTATGTTTCTCCAAATACAAGTGTGGGATATCATTTAAATTATTTAATATCATATTTCATAACTGATTCTGTCTTTTCTGAAACCGAGGTGGTCGCACACATCTCTGCTTGTCTGGCTGACATCTCTCAGTTGATGTCTGCACACCACCTGAAGCTCAACCTAAACTGCTCTTCATCAGGTAAGGAATCTCCTATCCCTGATCTTTCCATCAATATTGGCACTTCTTTTGTTTCCCCGACTTCAACCTCCATAAGTTCACCTCCACATCACCTCTCCTTTGCTTCCTTCACTGACAGTGGCTGCCAGAATCCGCTTCAAGACACTGGTACTGGCCTAGCGAGCTGTGAAGGGATCAGCCCCTTCCTACATCCAGGCCTTGGTTAAACCATGCACTCCAGCACATGAACTTCGCTCAGCGTCAGCCAATCGGTTTGCTACTCCGTCTCTGCGAGTTTTACCCTGGTACCCTTCAAAAACACATTATGTTTAGTATCCTGGCTCCCAAATGGTGCAATGAGCTCCCTATTGGCATCAGGACAGCAGAAAGACTGCATACTGTCGCAAACTGAAAACGCATCTGTTTGGATTGTACCTTGGCATTTTAATTATTGTAACAAAACAAACAATCAATAAAAGCACTTTAAAGAGTTAGCTTGGTACTTGTAACTATAATTCATCAGCACTTACAATGGTATGACTTGCTTGAAGTGACTATATCTGCACTCTCCTTTTTGTTCAGAGTTTGAATCACTATGGTTTTTGCACTTATTGTAAGTCACTTTGGATAAAAGCACCAGCTTTTTTTCACCAGAAATGTAATATCCTAGGATGTTAACCCATCCAATTGTGGGATATAGATTTCTAAGTATATTCGACATGGAAGGAAATAATAATTATCATTATTTTTCACATGGAGTTGTCATATTGTTACTATATTTATCTTACCTCTGTAGATGTTCCCCTCCTGTCAGGAAGCACCAGTGTGTTGGCATGGCTGCCCGGGGCTATAGTAGATCCTATACTCATTCTGGGTCCAACTAACATGTAGCGCTTGTCTCCAGATCTGTACTGGATGCTGTGACACAGTGTCCCATCATAGTTAGTCTCTTGTAGATATTTAGAAGTATAGTCTGTGGACTTAGAGCACTGCATTGCAATCAGCACGATGATACTGATGAGAAAAAGTGTTGAGACTGAGCCCAAAGTTATCATCAGGTAAAAAGTCACATTATTATCCTCATCATCCTTTGTTGCACTTTTAACATCAGCAGCAGCAAAAGCCTCTCTGGGCTCCACAAGTTTAACAACCACAGTAGCTGTTGCTGACAGGGAAACGTTGCCATTGTCTTTCCACCAGTATGAGCAGTTTATGCTCAGCCTCGTCTGTCTCTGTGAATGAGCGAAGTGTTCTGATCTGTCCTGTATAGCGGTCCAAACCAAAGAGACTGTGGGCAGTAACTTCCTGCAGTGAGAACAGTAACCAGCCGTTATATCCTATATCAGCGTCATAGGCTCTGACTTTAGTCACCAAGTGTCCTGCGTTCACATTGCGGGGAATCTCCTCCACACCTTCAGCAGAACCGTTAGAGCTGACCGGATACAGGATGACTGGAGCATTGTCGTTCTGATCCAGAATGAACACGTGCACTGTGACGTTGCTGCTTAGTGACGGAGTTCCAGAATCTGTGGCGACAACTTGGAACTGGAACGTTTTCAGAGTCTCAAAGTCAAAGCTTTTTAGTGCTGATATATCTCCAGTTTCACTATTTATATTTAAAAACAGACCAAACGTTTTTCCACTGCTCTCCCTGGGAATGTAATATGAAATATGTGCATTATCACTATCATCAAGGTCAGATGCCCTTACTGAAAATACAGGTGCTGCTAGGTCATTGTTTTCAGTAACATAGAATGTATACGGGCTCAGTGAAAACTGTGGTCGGTTATCATTCACATCTGATACAACAACACTTATTGTTTTTTCATAGGAAAGCGGTGGCTCTCCGGTGTCTTTTGCCACTACTGTAAGTTCATAAAAAGACTTAACTTCTCTGTCTAGTTTTGATTTGGTCACTACTGCGTACATATTGTCTCGCAAGGATGGAGTAATAGCGAAAGGACAATCATTACGTATAAAGCAGGAAACCTTCCCATTAGGACCTGAATCTAAATCATTGATGCTGATTAAAGCTACTGTTGTTCCAATTCTGGAATCTTCGGGAACTGATTTGGAAAATGATGTAATTTCTATCTCTGGGGGATTGTCATTGTAGTCAATTACCTTTATTATCACAGATTTGTATGTAGAAATAGGAATAGTACCTTTATCTGAAGCTTGTATATCAATTTCATAGCTTTCATTTTGTTCAAAATCTATTTCTCCGGTCACTTTTATTTCGCCCGTCTCTGAGTCTATATTAAATAATTTTTGCAAATGTAAATCCACTTCTTTGCCAAATGCGTAAACAATTTCGCAGTTTGCACCCTCATCCAAATCAGTCGCATTAACCTGAATAACTAACGTTCCGAGGTCTGCGTTTTCATTTAATATAGCAGAATATACGTCTTTTGTAAAAATCGGAGAATTGTCATTAAAGTCAAGCACCTGAATTACTATTTCTACTGTTCCAGACCTCGCTGGCCTCCCACCATCAATAGCTGTAAGCAGGAGCTTGTGCTCTCTCATAGCCTCTCTGTCTAACTGCTTCTGCAGAATCAAAAAGGGCATCTTACGATCTTCGCCCCTCTCCTTAACTTCCAAACGAAAGTGGTCGTTTTGGCTGAGTTTATACTGCTGAACAGTAAACTGACCAGCGTCTGGGTCGCGTGCAGGCTGTAGCTGGAACCGTGCTCCCGGTAATGTAGATTCAAATATCTCCAGGCGCTTCTGCTTCTCTGGAAACACGGGGGAGTGGTCGTTTACATCCTGCACCTCTATAGCTACATAATGGATTTCCAGAGGATTTTCTAGCACGGTTTTAAGGTTGATTATACATGCTTTGCTTCGTTCACAGATCTCTTCCCTGTCCACTTTCCTACTGACGTACAGGATGCCGTCGTCCATATTGAAACGAAAAAGGGGTTCCGTTGAACTGCCAACAATACGATACTCTCTAGCTTTCAACGTAGCCTTATCAATTCCCAAGTCTTTGGCAATATTTCCAACAACACTTCCTTCTTTCACTTCTTCAGAGATGGAATAACTGATCTGAGCTGAGGCTTCGCTCCAAAACGTTACGAAAGCTGCAATGTAGACGAAGCATCTCCATCGCGCTATCCACGGCTGCTGCCCGCTTTGTTCCATTATGCACAGACAAAAAGAATAATCCGGTATCTATAACTGTGTGGTCAGGAAACAATAATCAGGCCTATTCCAATGCATACTGTGTTTCATTGCCAAGACTGTGCTGCGAAATGAATGGAGCTAGTTTTGTGTTCAAGCCCTTTTCACGCAGAAATACATGATTGGATTAAAGACGATGACCAAAAGCTCTGACACTATTTGCCATACCGACACCATGCGATCCAGAACGTTATTGCAACACTGCTTGACATAAACATATAATATTATTAAAAGTTCATAGAACAATATTAGACAAAATAGTCCATATAATGTTAAGAAATATTGCATGTGCCGTTACTGTACCAAACGAGTCATAATCAATTAATTAAGAATGTCCAATTGATTTGCCAAAAGCTGTGGCTGCGTATTTAACACGTTTCAGTTCCAAGGACGCAGACATTTGCGTCTGCCGTAAAACGGGTATGAGTAGATTACCTGATGGCTATGGATAACTGCATTAACATAGGCCTACTGTAAATCACCAACTGTCCTAAAACAAGTATAAAGGTTGCAAAAACAAATTATTGAAGTCTGAGAGGACGAAGATGCTGCCTCATGAGCAGATGCTATTCTTCTAAACACAAGCGTTTCAGTATTCATACATGATCCAATGTAATTTGATGTCAACTTAATTAAATGTAAATATTAAAATGGCAATGACAGTACTACATGAAAAGTTAGGGAGTTGGAATATGGTTATATTTGGTTTTACCTCTGTAGATGTCCCCCTCCTGTCAGGGAGCACTAGTGTGTTGGCATGGCTGCACGGGACTATAGTAGATCCTATACTCATTCTGGGTCCAACTAACATGTAGCGCTTGTCTCCAGATCTGTACTGGATGCTGTGACACAGTGTCCCATCATAGTTAGTCTCTTGTAGATATTTAGAAGTATAGTCTGTGGACTTAGAGCACTGCATTGCAATCAGCACGATGATACTGATGAGAAAAAGTGTTGAGACTGAGCCCAAAGTTATCATCAGGTAAAAAGTCACATTATTATCCTCATCATCCTTTGTTGCACTTTTAACATCAGCAGCAGCAAAAGCCTCTCTGGGCTCCACAAGTTTAACAACCACAGTAGCTGTTGCTGACAGGGAAACTTTGCCATTGTCTTTCACCAGTATGAGCAGTTTATGCTCAGCCTCGTCTGTCTCTGTGAATGAGCGAAGTGTTCTGATCTGTCCTGTATAGCGGTCCAAACCAAAGAGACTGTGGGCAGTAACTTCCTGCAGTGAGAACAGTAACCAGCCGTTATATCCTATATCAGCGTCATAGGCTCTGACTTTAGTCACCAAGTGTCCTGCGTTCACATTGCGGGGAATCTCCTCCACACCTTCAGCAGAACCGTTAGAGCTGACCGGATACAGGATGACTGGAGCGTTGTCGTTCTGATCCAGAATGAACACGTGCACTGTGACGTTGCTGCTTAGTGACGGAGCTCCAGAATCTGTGGCGACAACTTGGAACTGGAACGTTTTCAGAGTCTCAAAGTCAAAGATTTTTAGCACCAAAATATCTCCAGTTTCAGAGTTGATATTTAAATATGAGGTCAATTTATTTCCTTCACTGCCATCTCTGAGAATATGATAGTTTATTCGTGCATTATCGTTCTCATCACGATCAAGAGCTTTAACAGAAAACACAGAGGTGCCTGGCTCATTAGCTTCAGTGATATAGAAAGTATATGGACTCAATGAAAACTCTGGACTGTTGTCATTCACATCTGAAACCACTACATGTATTGTCTTCTCAGAAGATAATGGAGGTTGACCAGCATCTTTTGCAGTTATTGTAAGGACATATTGTGACTGTTTCTCTCTATCTAGGGGGGATTTGGTCACCAATGAAAACATGTTGTCTTGTAAGGATGGAGTTAAAACAAAAGGAACATCCTCAACTATGGAGCAAATCACTTTTCCATTGAGACCAAAGTCCAAGTCATTTACACTGATAAGGGCTACTGTAGTTCCAGGTCTAGAATCTTCAGGGATGGAGTTTGAACATGAGGTAACCTCAATCTCAGTTGCGTTATCATTGACATCAATTATCTGGATTATAACACTTTGTTCTGTAGTTAGTGGAGCAAGTCCTTTATCTGATGCCCGAATTTCAATTTCGTACTTGTCCCTTTGCTCATAGTCGATCAGACCTTTGACAGTTATCTCACCTGTTGATGGATTCATATTAAAAAACTCAAATAGTTTATTATTTACACTGTTACCAAATGAGTAATACACCTCTCCATTCTGACCTTCATCTAAATCAGTTGCATTCACCTGTACGATGGTGGTACCTACTGGGGCATTTTCCGAGAGCGTAACAGATTAACCATCTGTAGAGAAAATGGGTGTGTTATCATTTACATCCATAACTTTTACTACAATATTCATATTACAAGATTTTGGAGGTTTCCCTCCATCCAGTGCCGTCAACACTAATGTGTTTATCCCTGCTGCTTCCCTATCTAAAGATTTTTGTAAAATCAATATTGGTATTTTACCATCCTCTCCTTTATCCCTAACCTCCAAACGGAAGTAATCGTTTTGGCTGAGTTTATAGTGTTGCACGGAGAAAGGACCACTGTCCGGGTCCCGTGATGCTTTTAGCTGAAATCTTGCTCCGGGCAACACAGACTCAGAAATATCCAACTGTTTCACTTCCTCTTCCACAACAACATAATGCACCTCCAGAGGGTTTTCCAGCACGGTTTTCAGATTCATTAAACACGTACTGCTCTGCGCGCACACCTCCTCTCTGTCAATCTTCCGGCTCACATACAGGACACCATCGTTTTGATTCACGTGGAAAAGCGGATCCGCATTACTGAAAACAATCCGATACTTCCTGCATTTCAGTGTGCTTTTATCTAATCCCAGATCTTTCACTATATTTCCAACCACAGTTCCTTCGTTAACTTCCTCCGAGATTGAATATCGTATTTGCGCTGAGGCCGCGCTCCACAAAACTCAATGGTATTTTGTTTTTAACCATATCAAAGTTATTTAATACTAAAAGAGAGAATGCGGCGGCCGAGTCTATAAACATCGTATAAACTCCTTCAGCTTCAAGCACCAAGGACAGCGATCTCTTTTCAGTTCGGCAAACACTTTGGATTAAGATATTATTATTTTTCCTGTCGTATCGTACGCCTGCCATTTTAAATCAACAAGCCTTTCTTTAAATAAAAGAAGGTTAATATAGGGTGTTATAAGACAAGCTACAAAGTCAACATCATGCCAAAGCAAAATTAATTAAAAAAGGGTCACAAGCATTGTCCATATCATTGCCAAGATAATGCAGAACGTCACGCAGGATATTAAGTCAGAAATGTTTTGATATAGTTGATACAGGTACTGACAAGGTGATTGACTACGATACAAAAAAAAAGAAGCATATCCTTATTCAAGTTCACTTCTATGATTATGTCCAAAAAAGTACATATGGTAATAATTGTGAAGGGCAACCAGGAATGCCAACAAACAGTACTACATGTGTTAGCACCATGGACAGAGACACTTCCTCCTGCATTTAGAGGCGTATGAATACATTACCCTAATTGTTATGGAAAACTGCAGTGACTCATACATCACCAACTATTCAACAACAAGGATAAAGTATAAAAAATCAAATGATTTCAGCCAGATAAAACGAAGAAGCTGCCTCAAGAGCAGATCCTATATCCTAATCAAAACTGTACTTTAGTGTAGGCTACTTAGCACACAGAGCTCACAGCTCCTCAAACCATTTTAATCCGGCCCGCCGAATATTGGCACAAAATTGTCCAAATTATAGTAAAGACCGCATTCATTTTTGCCTTGTTTCTGCAATACCCGGCATTTCAGTTGATCCCACTAGATGGCGCACTCTAGACACAATTGACCTTTGCTGGAGTCTGGTCTATTCAGCTGGCCCCACTCGGCAACCCGGCAAGATCTAAGAACCAAATACGTCAACCAAATGGAGGGGGTCGAGATTAACCTGAGCAATAACAGTTCATGGCAAGTACAACGAATACAAGTTGTAACAAGCAGTAGCGCTGCGCAAAGTGACTAGAACGCGACCACACACTTATATAAAGTCAGGCAACACTAACCAGGCTTCGTGTGATTCTTTGTGAAGAGGCATGACGTTTTCCTGTTGTTTTGTACTATTGCAGCTATCGGATGGAATCAATAGCCTACATGGGCTACATGTGGCCATCACAAGTAAAATCATAACGAAAACTACGCCGGTAAAATGTGCTCGTAGAAAACGGCTTATGCCACAATATGATAGCAACAAGTAGTCAAGATAGTCTGATTAGCTTCGGTTGCTATGCTAGCATCACATGTAGAATGCCAGATAAACTTTCATAACAGCGTTGTGATACCAAACAGCGTCAATTCAGACTGAAACAGTAACACATTCACTGATGGGGGTGGGGGATATTTATCAGCTGCTTGTGTGACAGTGACTTTACAGCGGCCGCTGCAGTGAGTTAACAGTATAAACGAGCAGCACTGCAGCGGGCGGTAATCCCGCTGAACCACATTAATAAACAATGCACCACGGCACTCTGGAGAAAGGTATACGGTTGGAGAAGTAGTTATTTAATTTAATCTGGCTTCGTATGATTACAAATTATCCGACCCAGTCCTCAATTGATGTTGTTGTGAGCGGTGCTGCGGAGAAAATCAGCGACGTAAAACGCCGTGTGGGTAATAAGAAGGGACGTAAACAGTTACGTCATGACGCAAACGATGATGCAATGACGCACTAATTCACCTTTAAACCTAATTAACCTTTGAACCTGCATCTGTAACAATGAGTGGACCAAAAAAAAGAAAATTCGACAATGAGTGCCGAGTGTTTAATGAGGAGTGGACAGCTAAATATGTTTTCACTGATCTGCTACTGGCCCGGCCCGTCTGTCAAATTGTAAAACTCATAGTGGCCCCTGAGCCAAAAAGTGTGCCCACCCCTGAACTACAGGTTAGTTTATCCTGATCTATCCGATCTCTATTCAGAAAACACGCATTTTAAAAGGTTTTTCGCCTGCCGTCTTTTCTGCAGACTTGTCACAGCATTAATTCATGGGTTTTACTAACTGGTATCAGTAGGCTATGTTGTTACTTCGGCATCATTTTGAAACGTGTATTACAATTAAATCACGGTAAAATATGTTCATCAGGAATACATTACCCTATTCGTTATGGAAAATGGCATTGACTCATACATCACCAACTATTCAACAACAAGGATAAAGTATGAAAAAATTAATGATTTCAGCAAGATAAGACGAAGATGCTGCCTCAACTGCATATCATATATCCAAACAAAACTTTAAAGTGTACTTAGCACACAGAGCTCACAGCTCCTCAAACCATTTTAATCCGGCCCGCCGAATATTGGCACAAAATTGTCCAAATTATAGTAAAGACCGCATTCATTTTGCCTTGTTGCTGCAATACCCGGCATTTCAGTTGATCCCACTAGATGGCGCACTCTAGACACTATTTGACCTTTGCTGGAGTCTGGTCTATTCAGCTGGCCCCACTCGGCAACCCGGCAAGATCTAAGAACTAAATACGTCAACCAAATGGAGGGGGTCGAGATTAACCTGAGCAATAACAGTTCATGGCAAGTACAACGAATACAAGTTGTAACAAGCAGTAGCGCTACGCAAAGTGACTAGAACGCGACCACACACTTATATAAAGTCAGGCAACACTAACCAGGCTTGGTGTAATTCTGTTTATTTTGACCATCCGTTCACTGTTATTGACAATTGTGAAGAGGCAGAAGTTTTCCTGTTGTTTTGTACTATTGCAGCTATCGGATGGAATCAATAGCCTACATGGGCTACATGTGCCATCACAAGTAAAATCATAACGAAAACTACGCCGGTAAAATGTGCTTGTAGAAAACGGCTTATGCCACAATATGATAGCAACAAGTAGTCAAGATAGTCTGATTAGCTTCGGTTGCTATGCTAGCATTGATTGATTGATTGATTGAAAAGTGTATTAACAGCTTGTATATTGGGTACAGTACAGTACAGCTCAAAACATACAATTGTTAAGGGGATGCAGACCAGAGAAAGACTTTCGTCTTGTTTACATCAGGGTCCCCCATTTCCAATTCATCATGTCATTTAAGACATATAAGACATATTTGACATACAGATGGCTTATTTACAATTTACATACAGGTGGTTTTTTTACATACAGATTGCTTGTTTACAATTTCCATTTTAGATTTCGTTCTAATACATCCTAACCGGACATTTAAGACATACCAAGTCTACAGATATACAGTTAGTAACAGAGTCTAAAATGCGAGTATATACATAGATGAGGTGGGGGGAAGCTGTCCATTGAACGACAGGTTGAGATTTGTACCATTACCGGGGCCAGTTTTGCAATGCTCTCCCCCGAAGGTGCTCTTTAAGAGAGGTTTTGAAGGTAAGTATAGTTTTACTTTCCTTTACAGTTGTGGGAAGAGCGTTCCACCTTGATGTGGCATAATTGCGAAACGTGTATTCCCCCTTTTTTGTGCCAAATCTGGGTTTCACATGATTTGTGGAGCTCCCTCTGGTGTTATGATCATGGTATTCCTTGACCTTTGGGAAGAATTTTGACATGTACATGGGTACCATAGAGGTGTAGTGGATCTTGTAGACCAGGCCCATTGCAAGTAGCTGTACTCTGTCGTCTACTCTAAGCCATCCTAGGTTGTCAAAGTGGGCAGAGGTGAGGTGGGTTCTAGATGAAAGGTCAAGCAGTAGTCTGACCAGTTTATTTTGCGATGTTTGAAGTTTTATTTTTAGCGCCTTGGAGGTGCTATGGTACCATGACGTGCAAGCATAGTCATAGTACCCTTGAATGAGTGCTCCTGCCAGAGTTTTCAGGGTGTTTTTGTTTACCAGAGAGGAGATCCGGTATAGGAATCTAGTGATTGACTCTTTGATTGACTTTTTTTATTACATTGGATGCCATTTTGTCACAGGAGAGGTTTGCCTCAAGAATAGATCCTAGGTATGTAATTTCCTTCTTACTTGTGACAATAATGTCGCCCACTGCAACTGAGAAGTCGTCGGATTTGCTGAGATTATGTTTCGAACCGAAGAGAATGGACTCTGTTTTACCCAGGTGTAGTGATAATTTATTATCGGCGAGCCAGGTGAAAGATTCTGCCGAGCTCGGAGCTGAGGGTTTTTTCAACCTGCAACCTGTTCCTGTCAGAGACCAGCAGGGCTGAGTCGTCCGCGAACAGGAACAAGTTGCAGTCACATGCTGATGACATGTCATTTACATAAATTAGGAACAGTAACGGACCTAATATGCTTCCTTGTGGAACACCACAGCTCACTGGGAGGGGGGGGACAGAGTACCGTTTACCTCCACCATCTGTTCTCTCCCCTCCAGGTAGGATTGCATCCAGCTCACCGATAGTTTATCAAAACCAATTGCTTTTAGCTTGTCAATCAGAATGGGGTGATTGACAGTGTCGAAAGCCTTTTGTAGGTCCAGCATCACCATGCCGCAGTACTTGCCCTCATCCACCTCTTGTTTGATGTGGTCGCTCAAATAAAGAAGGCATGTGTCAGTGGAGTGGGATGTTCTAAAGCCAGATTGAAATTCATAGATTAGTTTATTTTCCGCGAGGTACTTTTCGACCTGTTCATATACTATTTTTTCCATGACTTTCGAGATGGAGTTAAGTATAGAAACAGGGCGGTAGTTGTCTGGGTCCAATTTGCTGCCCTTTTTGTGCAGGGGGGTTACTCTTGCAATTTTGAAGTCTTTGGGTACTTTTCCCTGTTTTATGGAGAGGTTAATTATGTGAGCTATGACTGGTGAGATGGCGGTTGCTGAGTCTCTGAGGAATTTGGAGGGGATATTGTCGTGGCCAGTGGCCTTGTTAGGTTGGAGGGCGCTCAGTTTAATGAGTACCTCTGCTGTTGTTACCCTTGCTAGACTGAAATCATCTTTGCGTACCCCTAGGTTTTTGTAGTAGGTCATGATGTGATCTACTCCAAAAAGCCCTGAGTGGGAGCATCACATGTAGAATGCCAGATAAACTTTCATAACAGCGTTGTGATGCCAAACAGCGTCAATTCAGACTGAAACACATTCACTGATGGGGGTGGGGGATATTTATCAGCTGCTTGTGTGACAGTCGGACAGTGACTTTACAGCGGCCGCTGCCGTGAGTTAACAGTATAAACGAGCAGCACTGCAGCGGGCGGTAATCCCGCTGAACCACATTAATAAACAATGCACCACGGCACTCTGGAGAAAGGTATACGGTTGGAGAAGTAGTTATTTAATTTAATCTGGTTTCGTATGATTAAAAACTACCCGACGCAGTCCTCTATTGATGTTGTTGTGAGCGGTGCTGCGGAGAAAATCAGCGACGTAAAACGCCGTGTGGGTAATAAGAAGGGACGTAAACGGTTACGTCATGACGCAAACGATGACGCAATGACGCAATAATTCACCGTTGAACCTAATTCACCTTTGAACCTGCATCTGTAACAATGAGTGGACCAAAAAAAAGAAAAGTCGACAATGAGTGCCGAGTGTTTAATGAGGAGTGGACAGCTAAATATGTTTTCACCTATCTGCTACTGGCCCGGCCCGTCTGTCAAATTGTAAAACTCATAGTGGCCCCTGATCCAAAAAGTTTGCCCACCCCTGAACTAAAGGTTAGTTTATCCTGATCTACCGATCTCTATTCAGAAAACACGCATTTTAAAAGTTTTTCGCTTGCCGTCTTTTCTGCAGACTTGTCACAGCATTAATTCATGGTTTTTACTAACTGGTATCAGTAGGCTATGTTGTTACTTCGGCATCATTTTGAAACGTGTATTACAATTAAATCATGGTAAAATATGTTCATCAGGAATACATTACCCTATTCGTTATGGAAAATGGCATTGACTCATACATCACCAACTATTCAACAACAAGGATAAAGTATGAAAAAACTAATGATTTCAGCAAGATAAGACGGAGATGCTGCCTCAACTGCAGATCCTATATCCAAACAAAACTTTAAAGTGTAGCCTACATGTTAGACATGATCCAATGTAGCTTGAAGTCAAAATGTTGAAATATAAGCAAATAATCACCATCACATTGACAATGCTATACACGTGACGAAAGGACAGGAAGCTGGAATATGTATTTGTCTTACCTCTGTAGATGTTCCCCTCCTGTCAGGGAGCACCAGTGTGTTGGCATGGCTGCCCGGGACTATAGTAGATCCTATACTCATTCTGGGTCCAACTAACATGTAGCGCTTGTCTCCAGATCTGTACTGGATGCTGTGACACAGTGTACCATCATAGTTAGTCTCTTGTAGATATTTAGAAGTATAGTCTGTGGACTTAGAGCACTGCATTGCAATCAGCACGATGATACTGATGAGAAAAAGTGTTGAGACTGAGCCCAAAGTTATCATCAGGTAAAAAGTCACATTATTATCCTCATCATCCTTTGTTGCACTTTTAACATCAGCAGCAGCAAAAGCCTCTCTGGGCTCCACAAGTTTAACAACCACCATAGCTGTTGCTGACAGGGAAACGTTGCCATTGTCTTTCACCAGTATGAGCAGTTTATGCTCAGCCTCGTCTGTCTCTGTGAATGAGCGAAGTGTTCTGATCTGTCCTGTATAGCGGTCCAAACCAAAGAGACTGTGGGCAGTAACTTCCTGCAGTGAGAACAGTAACCAGCCGTTATATCCTATATCAGCGTCATAGGCTCTGACTTTAGTCACCAAGTGTCCTACATTCACATTGCGGGGAATCTCCTCCACACCTTCAGCAGAACCGTTAGAGCTGACCGGATACAGGATGACTGGAGCGTTGTCGTTCTGATCCAGAATGAACACGTGCACTGTAACGTTGCTGCTTAGTGACGGAGTTCCAGAATCTGTGGCGACAACTTGGAACTGGAACGTTTTCAGAGTCTCAAAGTCAAAGCTTTTTAGCGCCAAAATATCTCCAGTTTCAGAGTTGATATTTAAATATGAGGTCAATTTATTTCCTTCACTGCTATCTCTGAGAATATTATAGGTTATTAGTGCATTATCGTTCTCATCACGATCAAAAGCTTTAACTGAAAACACAGAGGTACCTGGCTCATTAGCTTCAGTGATATAGAAAGTATATGGACTCAATGAAAACGCTGGACTGTTGTCATTCACATCTGAAACCACTACATGTATTGTCTTCTCAGATGATAATTGAGGTTCACCACCATCTTTTGCAGTTATTGTCAGGACATATTGTGACTGTTTCTCTCTATCCAGGGGGGATTTGGTCACTAATGAAAACATGTTGTCTTGTAATGATGGAGTTAAAGCAAAAGGAGCATCCTCACCTATTGAGCAAATCACTTTTCCATTGAGACCAGAGTCCAAGTCATTTACACTGATAAGGGCTACTGTAGTTCCAGGTCTTGAATCTTCAGGGATAGAGTTTGAAAAGGAGGTAACCTCAATCTCAGGTGCGTTATCATTCACGTCAACTATCTTTATGACGACACTTTTTTGTGTAGCCAGTGGAGCAGGACCTTTATCTGTCGCTTGAACTTCAATTTCATATCGGTCCTTATCCTCGTAGTTTATTAAACCTTTAACAATTATCTCCCCTGTTGATTGGTTAATTTCAAATAGCTTAAAGAATTTACGATTTACGCTGTTGCTAAACGAGTAAACTATTTCTCCATTTAGTCCTTCATCCAGATCTGTCGCATTCACTTGTAAGATTGTTGTGCCTATTGGAGTATTTTCCTCAAGCATTACTGAGTTTAAGTCTTTAGAGAACACAGGCGCATTATCATTTACATCTAAAACATTTACTAGAATATTCATAGTACCAGATTTCGGAGGTTTTCCTCCATCTAGTGCAGTCAGCATTAATGACTGTCTTGCGGAAACCTCTCTATCTAAAGATTTTTGCACAATTAATACAGGTATTTTCCCATCTTCACCATGGTCTTTAACCTCTAAACGAAAGTGGCCATTGTGGCTGAGTTTATACTGCTGAACAGTGAAGGGACCACCGTCTGGATCTCGCGCAGCTTGTAGTGGAAATCTTGCCCCAGGTAAGACTGACTCAAAGATCTCTAACGTTTTCTCTTCGTCTGGGAAACTGGGAGAATGGTCATTTATATCCATCACCTCCACTCCAACATAATGCACCTCCAAGGGATTTTCTAGCACAGTTTTCAGATTTATTAAACACGTACTGCTTCGCTCGCACACCCCTTCTCTGTCAATCTTCCGGCTCACATACAGGACACCATCGTTTTGATTCACGTGGAAAAGCGGATCCGCATTACTGGAAACAATCCGATACTTCCTGTCTTTCAGTGTGCTTTTATCTAAACCCAGATCTTTAGCTATATTTCCAACCACAGTTCCTTCGTTAACTTCCTCCGAGATTGAATATCGTAATTGTGCCGATGTTACGCTCCACAAAAGCACAGCAACCACGCAGCCGATCCACCGTCTTCTCGCCATTCTTGCCACGCATCCTCTTTGTTCCATGATTAAAAACAAAAATGGTAAGGATTCCTCACAGGGCTAGTAACCGTCTTGTAAAAATATAGATCAACACATCCGGGTATGCAAATATTCACTCCGTTAAAAACATGTTAACACACGGGGCAATGTGTATAAATGCGGCAGCCAGCCGCCAAGCAGAATTATCGAACTGAGAGCACTAAAAAGAGGTGGATCCAACGCCCAGTAACGACAAGTTAAAACGTTATTTTTCTGACACACTGACACCATGCGATATGCTTGCTCAGTACAAGGAAATCAACGTTCATGTACCTTTTGTGATAGTGAAATGAAAACATTTTTGTATAATGATTTACTTTACCCTGAGTAGTGTTTACTTGGTTTAACTACATCACATAATGCGATGCCTTAACCAGATTTAACAATAAACGCATTAATTCCTCTAAAACAAATGAATGATGCATATTATGTTTAAACAATGTTTGATATATCTATTTAAAATTGGTTTGACATTTTGCACAGTGTATTAGCAGGTATCAGAGCAGCTGAGTAAAACTTTAAAGCACCGTGGACAGCGAGGCAGTTATGATTCGTCCTGTCATATGTGTAAATGTACAATACATTGAAGAAGCCTTGCAACCTCGAATCACACATTAGCCCAAGTGAAGGTAATGTTATTTGAAGCATCAAAGTAGCCTATGTTTTAGTTGTAGTATGTGTTTGTCAGAATATGGAAAAAAGCAGGAGACTACAAACTGACAAACAGAGGAGTATAAGCATATATCACCCCATAATGACACTTGTTGATAACAGCTTTTCACTTCAGGTTAAACAGTTTAATAAAAATAGCAGCTGAATACTCAAATATACAAAACAAATATCCTTCAAATACTTATATGCCATCAAACTGTACAAGTGCTGTTTATAATTTAGAGTTTTTCAATTACGAATTAATGAACAACGCTGCCAGTAGAAACATGCCACGGTTTTTGAAAACATTTCCTTACCTCTGTAGATGTTCCCCTCCTGTCAGGGAGCACCAGTGTGTTGGCATGGCTGCCCGGGACTATAGTAGATCCTATACTCATTCTGGGTCCAACTAACATGTAGCGCTTGTCTCCAGATCTGTACTGGATGCTGTGACACAGTGTCCCATCATAGTTAGTCTCTTGTAGATATTTAGAAGTATAGTCTGTGGACTTAGAGCACTGCATTGCAATCAGCACGATGATACTGATGAGAAAAAGTGTTGAGACTGAGCCCAAAGTTATCATCAGGTAAAAAGTCACATTATTATCCTCATCATCCTTTGTTGCACTTTTAACATCAGCAGCAGCAAAAGCCTCTCTGGGCTCCACAAGTTTAACAACCACAGTAGCTGTTGCTGACAGGGACACGTTGCCATTGTCTTTCACCAGTATGAGCAGTTTATGCTCAGCCTCGTCTGTCTCTGTGAATGAGCGAAGTGTTCTGATCCGTCCTGTATAGCGGTCCAAACCAAAGAGACTGTGGGCAGTAACTTCCTGCAGTGAGAACAGTAACCAGCCGTTATATCCTATATCAGCGTCATAGGCTCTGACTTTAGTCACCAAGTGTCCTGCGTTCACATTGCGGGGAATCTCCTCCACACCTTCAGCAGAACCGTTAGAGCTGACCGGATACAGGATGACTGGAGCGTTGTCGTTCTGATCCAGAATGAACACGTGCACTGTGACGTTGCTGCTTAGTGACGGAGCTCCAGAATCTGTGGCGACAACTTGGAACTGGAACGTTTTCAGAGTCTCAAAGTCAAAGCTTTTTAGCGCCGAAATATCTCCAGTTTCAGAGTTGATATTTAAAAATGAGGTAAATAACTGCTCGGCTCCTCTGTCTCTTACTATGTAATATGAAATGAGAGCATTATTACCGTCATCTTCATCACTGGCTGTCACGGATAAAACAGACCCTCCTGGGTTGTTGTTCTCAGTTATGTAGAAGGTATATGGGTTCTTTGTAAACACTGGGCTGTTGTCATTTACATCTGACACAACAATGTTTATATATTTTTCCGATGATAAGGATGGTTCCCCTGCGTCTTTACATACAATTGCAACGTTATATTGCGATTCCTTCTCTCGATCCAAAAGCATTTTTGTTACAAGTGAATACATGTTGTTTTGTAAAGATGGAGTGAGCATAACAGGAAGATCTTGGGTAATGTAGCACATCACTTTCCCGTTGAGACCAGAGTCCGAATCTTTAACACTTATCAAGGCTACTGTTGTTCCTGGTTTTGAATCTTCAGGGAGATCATGCGAAAAAGATGTCACTTCCATCTCTGGTGCATTGTCGTTTAAGTCCACAATATTTATAATAACGCTTTTGTCTGTAGCAAGTGTAGCTGCACCTTTGTCGGATGCCTGAATATCAATCTCATATCTGCTACATTCTTCATAATCTATGGCCCCTGACACAGAAATAACTCCAGTCATATAATTCAAATCAAAACGTGCACGTGCCCGTGCATCCACGTCTTTTCCAAATGAATAGATAACTTCACCATTTAAACCTTCATCCAAATCTGTTGCATTAACTTGAATCACATTTTTCCCAAGAGGAGAATTTTCATTTAGCTGAGCAGTGTATGACTCCTTGGTGAAAACGGGGGGGTTATCATTGACATCGGACACATGAACAATTATTGTCATGTTTCCGGATCGCGGAGGTTTACCTCCATCAATGGCTGTCAGAAGTAACGTATGGGTCTTGACAGACTCTCTATCAAGTGCTTTTTGAAGAATCAAACCAGGTGTTTTGCGGTCCTCACCACGATCTTTCACTTCCAAACTAAAATGTTCGTTCTGGCTCAATGTATACTGCTGAACGGATAATGAACCACTATCAGCATCACGAGCAGCCTGTAACTGAAATCTTGCTCCAGGTAATGCAGATTCAAAAACCTCTATCTTATTTTCATGTTCGGGAAAGCATGGCGAGTGGTCGTTTACATCCAGAATCTCCACTGCAACATAGTGCACCTCCAGTGGGTTTTCTAGCACGGTTTTTAAGTCGATTACACAAACCTTGCTACGGTCGCACACTTCCTCTCTGTCAATAATTTGGTTTACATACAAGATACCATCGTCTTGATTCACTCGAAAAGGAGGCTCCGTGGAGCCGTAGACAATACGGTACCCCCTCTCTTCCAGTGTGCTCTTGTCAACACCTAAATCCTTGGCGATATTTCCCACTGCTGTTCCTATTTTCACTTCCTCGGAGATGGAATATCGAAATTGTCCTGACGCTCCGCTCCAAAACGCAACAAAAACCGTCATGAAAGCAAGCCACTTTGTCCGCTCTCTCCATGTCTGGCGTCGTCTTTGTTCCATCATAATTTTTTTTTTTTTTAAATAAAAACAGCTTTATAAGAGCTTCACTTGTATTCTGACATACAATCCCTTCTTTACACCTTTTGTTATAATCCAATCGTTCTCCAGCAGAGCATCAGACTATTTTAATGCTGAATTGAGTATTCAACCCGTCACGTATACGGGTCTGTCGATGACGGCTTTAGAAAGAGGAAGGGGGTGTGTCTAGTGACTGACGAAAACTAAGTAAATCATTATTTGTTTTATACTGACACCAAGTGATCGAGAATCACACTGCAGTACTTCATTTGTTAACAACAAAATATATTTAAAGAAAGATTTTACACGAAAAATGAATTTCCCTAACAATGAAAACTGCAGCATTTCCCCTCTTCTAAAGGACAGAGAAGGCAAAGATGCCCCCTTCATTAGAGAGAGAGAGCCCACGGAGACATAACCCATTTAACATATACTGTCATACTACCTTGAGACGGATTTGAAAATTGATTTCAGCAACGCGGACAGCGATAACTTGAACTCATCAACATATTTGACTCACAAAACAGGACGATGACCAAGTTTGTCATTGTAACAATATTTTGATAACAGGGTTCTCTTCCCATTTCCAGTAAGAGTGTTTGCCAAGTAGCGTTGCCTTCTGTGTAAATAACGACATTATACAAGAATATGCCACGACTACAAATCATAGCAGTAACATATGAAAATAATAGATACACATTACACACACTTCGAGAGCATGCAATTATATTAAAAAGTATACATTGTGTGTTATTCCAACACAATCGGGGCTCAACGTCGTATATGGAGCGAGAGTAAAACTTTGGATCTTACCTCTGTAGATGTCCCCCTCCTGTCAGGGAGCACCAGTGTGTTGGCATGGCTGCCCGGGACTATAGTAGATCCTATACTCATTCTGGGTCCAACTAACATGTAGCGCTTGTCTCCAGATCTGTACTGGATGCTGTGACACAGTGTCCCATCATAGTTAGTCTCTTGTAGATATTTAGAAGTACAGTCTGTGGACTTAGAGCACTGCATTGCAATCAGCACAATGATACTGATGAGAAAAAGTGTTGAGACTGAGCCCAAAGTTATCATCAGGTAAAAAGTCACATTATTATCCTCATCATCCTTTGTTGCACTTTTAACATCAGCAGCAGCAAAAGCCTCTCTGGGCTCCACAAGTTTAACAACCACAGTAGCTGTTGCTGACAGGGAAACGTTGCCATTGTCTTTCACCAGTATGAGCAGTTTATGCTCAGCCTCGTCTGTCTCTGTGAATGAGCGAAGTGTTCTGATCCGTCCTGTATAGCGGTCCAAACCAAAGAGACTGTGGGCAGTAACTTCCTGCAGTGAGAACAGTAACCAGCCGTTATATCCTATATCAGCGTCATAGGCTCTGACTTTAGTCACCAAGTGTCCTGCGTTCACATTGCGGGGGAATCTCCTCCACACCTTCAGCAGAACCGTTAGAGCTGACCGGATACAGGATGACTGGAGCGTTGTCGTTCTGATCCAGAATGAACACGTGCACTGTGACGTTGCTGCTTAGTGACGGAGTTCCAGAATCTGTGGCGACAACTTGGAACTGGAACGTTTTCAGAGTCTCAAAGTCAAAGCTTTTTAGCGCCGAAATATCTCCAGTTTCAGAGTTGATATTTAAAAAAGAAGTCACTTTTTTCCCTTCACTGCTATCTCTGAGAATATGATAGTTTATTCGTGCATTATCGTTCTCATCACGATCAAGAGCTTTAACAGAAAACACAGAGGTACCTGGCTCATTAG